GAGACAGGGACAGGGCATGCGGCAGCAGCAGAGGACCGACCGTCACCGCTCGCTGGTGCGTGGCACAGAACTCTTCATCCCTCTTAACACAACCCTATTTGAACTGTCTGGAGGGTGGGGTAGCAAGAACAGAGAAGGCTAAATGTAAACACACTGAGATATTAAACATATAAATCATTAGGCAATACCGTAGTTTAGGAAGCACAGTTGCCCAGAATTTGTTTGTGCAGGCCGGTTAAATACTGTTTAGGCAGTGTCAAATAACTATGGACGTTGAAAGGTGATTTCCATCGATAAAGTGATTTAATTGATAACTCTGAAAAAAGTTTCCATCTTCATGTTTTAATGGCTATTTTAATGATTCATTACAGGAGAAATGATTAAGTTATTACAAGGGAAGACTGAAGTGTAAAATGTATTTGCAGTGGCAAGACCTTGTGTTTTAGAAATGACGATGTGCCAGACAGAGCTCCACAGCCCTTTGTTATATGGTATTATGGACAGAGCTGTTAAATGTGACCTGGAGATTAAATCCCAGGCAATAGTCTAAAACCACCTGTACTGGGTCTGCCTGGGACAGAGTTAACTTCCTTCACAGCACTAGGATGGGACACAGCCAACTGGCCCAAGCAATATGTGATACTGCACATTAAAAACTGGGGAGGGGGACGTTGTCCTCCAAGGTAGCAGAGACCGGCTGGGCATCGGTCTGCCCGTGGGAGGTGGTGACTGCCTTTGCATCACTTGTTTTTATTCTCCTTCCTTCACCTACGAAACTGTCTTTCTCTTGACCCAGTTTTCTCGGTTTTGCTCTTCCTATTCCTTCCACCTGTCCCACTCGGGGGTGGGGGGTGGAGCGAGCGAGCGAGCGGCTGTGTGGGTGCTTAGCTGTTGGCTGGGGTCAACCCACCACAACATCCTTGTTCTTTACACCCTTACAGGAAAGTACGAAGAGTGCCTGAGCACTCTATCCTACATGCACGCTGTGGGCTCAGATAGTTATCCTTCTCCATCACCCTTGCCAAAGCTGAGGCTGTCTTCTGGGTTGGTTTGCTTTGGAAGTCACAGCGCAGGCTCAATAGGGAAAGCCGTCTTCTGGCTGTCAGCCTGGAGTGGACCCGAGAGGTGTCCAAGACACTGAGATTCGGCAATTGGTCCCACTCTTTAAACATAGCCGTAATAGAACATTGGTTCATCGCTTAGAGATTTGGAGGTTGAGTGTCTTGCTTTTAGAGTACAGAAGCCACGCTTCACTAAGACACCTTTGACTTTCACCTTCTGAGGAAACAGATAATGGAAGTCTATACTCCAGGGAAAGGGCAGGGCAACTCTGGTCACGCTCATCTGGAGGCACTGTTCTCCTGAAAGGTGCAAGACTAAAGTTGCACTCGTAGTGTCCCATAGCACTTGAAGACTGAGACATTATCACAGGTCTTGCAAGATGCTCAGGCCTCCCAAAAGTCATATACAGCTCTTGCTGAAGCATCACCACTGTAGAGGCTGAATGGGATCAAGGAGAGGCCCTTGAACTTCATTACATAGTTGTGACATCAAAGAAATGTTGGTGGGAAAGGATCTCTAGAGGTCTCTATCCACTGTTCCACTAGAAAAAAGACTATTGCCAGTACTGGATCAGATTGGCCCTGGCTTTGAGTAGTCAAGTTTTGGAAATCACCCAGGATGGAGACCCCCCCACCCCTGTGGTGGCCATCCCAGGGCTGCTCCTCACTCCCCAGAAAAAGAAGCATTTCCACATGTCTAGCATCAACGTCCAAAGGTGCAACAACATTTCCCCTCACTGCATCATCTGCCAGTACAGAGAGGCACTTGACTCTATCACCTTTTGCCCTCCGAGGAGTCGCAGGCTGCTCTTGGACCGCTCTCACGGCCAGACCCAATGACCTCAGCTCTGTCCACCTCCTGCTGTAGGGTCGCTGCCAGTTAGCCAACCTCTACAGAGTCTCACCAGCGTCTCAGCATCCCTTGCAGCAGGCAGACCAAAACTGGACCTAGCATCCAGACGTTGCACCACACGGTGGGGGTGATAACTACCTGAGACCAGGCAGCCACCTGTCTGCTCCTGTAGCCCGAACCACGGTTCTCCATCTTCGCAGGGAGAGCACATTGTTGGCTCACGTTCAGTTTGGCATCCGCCACTCCTCCCAGGTCCTTTCCAGTAAGGCAGCTGCGCCACAGCTCCTAATCGGAGCGTTATCGTGCCCTGCCCTCAGCCAGGGCTGCCTGCCACTGGCACATACTTCAGGTAGGTGTTTGGCCCCAAAGCCAAACATGTCATACATCCAAGAGTTCTCGCCCAACTCATGCAGCCCTTTCTTGCGATACCCTTGCTTCCTCTGCTAGCAGTCCACACTGCACGTTCCCCAGCGAGCACAGAGCTTTTCCCATTGCACAGACTGTTCTTCTTTAGGTGTTTTCACTACCCATCGTTCTCAAGTTCAATAATCGTATTTTCTATAAAACTACTGCCAAAGATTCTGTCTTAATTCTTGATATTTCTCTTTTGGCCTCAATTCTTTGACTGTCTTAATTACTACCCTCCTACCTGCTTTTACCAGGCCACAGTTTAGCAAGAAAACGCACATCTAAGAAACTCTACTGGGCTCTCTTGCAAATTAAGCTGCCAGGTAACTGTTTGGTGCAATACACCATTCCCAAGCACATTTAATGTACAGACCACTTGGTCACAGCCCAAATACCTACGAGGTCTGAGAAATCTTCTTTTCATGAATAAACAAGTAAATTGTAGTGACAAACCACTGCCCAGCCCACTGGCAGACGTACAATTGTGCGGTCCAGTGGATCTTTTAGAAGACAGCAGCTACAACTGAATTCCATTCAGGACCTCCCATGCCCCTGTGCAAGGCTGAATGCAAAGCCAGAGATGCCACGAGTCCTAGGACCACAGTGGACTTCAGCTTGGACATGTCTATGTCCTAGGCACCTGATGCCCAAAGAGAGTGGCCAGCTCTGGACCGCTGCCTGAGCTCTCAGTGTGGTGCACAGAGAGGGGGGTGTCGGAGGAGATCCACAGCAGGCAGGGT